GTCGCGGAGAACCTAACGGGTAACCGGGGCTCCGGCTCGACGTGCAGGAGAAGGAACGGGGTGGTTTTTAGTCAGTAAGAGTCTAACACTCCCTCCCGCCTCACCCAGGCGGGAGCAGTCATTCGATGATTTTCCCCCCTTAAAAAAACCCCCCATGGGAGACAGGCGTGAAGTTATATATGTATGTATATTAAAATATGATTAACTGTTTCACAATGACTGATTAAATTACGTTTAGGCTAATTGAAGAATAACTCGACAGACTCGACTGGTTTCAAGTCACGCCAGGTACTCATAGCCATGAGTAGCATAATGCGACACAAGCTACACGACGAGTGTCCCGCAGTGAACTCTAAAAACTATACTCGGAATTTTAATTCGATTCCAGATTTGACAATTTCAGTGTTGCAACGTTATGACAAGTATTAAATAGTGACGTTGCGAAACTATTCGAAATGGAAATGCAATATTTCTGGATAGATTCTTCTCGTTTATAATTTTACTCTCGTAATTAATTTAATTTTAAGTTTTTTTGACGTGACAACGTCTTAAATTAGGTTGCGGCTGGGAGTCACTTATGAAAAAGTGTAACGCTCGGTAACGTTACGATGAGTCACCGAACGAGAGAGAGGCCCGCCGAATGCCTTGCGTCTCTCTCCCACTCAACTATGATCGGTCTGCCGCGCGCGCAGCACTAGTTCATTCAATTCCTTGTTCCTATTGTGCAATTTAATTATATTCATATCAATAAATATTCTATCGAGAAAAAGACGTTGTCACGTAAAATCTTCGCCCGTAAAAACGACTTTACAGGCAACCATTTTTTAATTAAATTTTAATTTTAGTCTCGTAATCTTATTGTAATCCATTAACGATCTGAGACTTTTCTTTTATAATTGTGTGTGAAATAAATAAAAAAAATATGATCATGAAGGAACATAACAAATAAAACAGATTTATTTATTTATTTATTTATTAAGAGTTACCAACATTTGATTACACAACTACAGTAAGCATAATACAAGCAAGCAAAGAGGAATGAGCCTATGTGTAACAAACAATTACAGGTAACCACAACATTTACTGGTGCAAATATGTGTATATAACAAAAAAAAGTTCTTAATTACTATCCTTAAATCTAGTTCTAACACAAAGTACTAAACCATATAGGTACATAATCCACTATCTGTGTTGATTGGATAATATGCATTTATGCAGATAGATGTATTATGATAATAATTTATTTTAAAAATTGTCGCCGTCATCGCTATCGCTATCCTGTCACTTTCTGTAACATTTATTATAAAACACACACATTGATTGTTTATCGATTTTTGTGTTCATCACTATACTATTATATGTGGTATCATTATTTCACAAAATAACAGTAGCTATTGTCAAATCTGGAATCTAATTAAAATTCTGACTATAGTCCTAGTTTAAGTATTAGTCAGGAAATGTATCATAATAATGTGTCCTTGGTTATAACGTAAAGTTTACAAAAAAATATTTTAAAAGTAAGGTTCTGTGTCATCATTTTATTAGAAGCTCGGCTACTGTAAATGTCTTCTCATCGATATAATACATACATACTAACAATTTATTATTTCCTTAGCATCAACCTACAAGAGTTGGCGCAAGCGCCCTACATATTGGAGTGGGCACTCGAGTATATTGTGGACTCCGCACAAAAACTCAACTGGCAGGTATTCTCTAAAAAAGTCATCGCTGAAGAGTTGAATCCTACTGGGTAAGATTTCTTTACATTACATTATCACTGACAAATATTTTAACATTCAAATTTTTACCAACTTCGTACAGCGGGTTCGATTCCCGCGCGCTCTTTTTGTGATCAACATTATTATTTTGTAATGTTTCACAACAAAAAAAAGATAACGGGAACAAAGTTTTATATTTAAAAGGGTACCACATTGGTTGTAATCTAATTCAAATAACTTTAATCTTATTGTAATCCATTATTGTTATCTATCATTTTCATTACGATTTGTCTTCATTATTACATGTCATAACATTTCACATAAACACTCGTTTACCTTATTATTGTGGGAGAGCCATGCTTCGGCACGAATGGGCCGGCTCGACCGGAGTGATACCACGGCCTCACAGAAAACCGACGTGAAGCAACGCTTGCATTGTGTTTCGTCGCGTGAGTGAGGTTACCGGAGGCCCAATTTCCCTCCCCTTCCCCAATCTCCCCAATCCCTGAATCCCCAACAATCCTCAAACTCCTAATCTACAAATAGCCGGTAACGCACTTGTAACGCCTCTGGTGTTCCAGGTGTCCATGGGCGACGCCGATTGCTTTCCATCAGGTGATCCGTCTGCTCGTTTACCGGCTTATGCCATAAAAAAAAAAAAAAAAAATTACGAGTTTGTTCTACGTTTAAAGTAATCGTAACGAGTACGCGTTCGGGGCTCTGATTGGTTGGTTGATTGGCGCCAGCCAATCAGTACGCCGAACGCGTACTCGTTTCGAATACTTTAAACGTAGAACAAATTCGTACTAAGGCGGTAAGGCCTCAGAGCACTTCTACACTGATAGTAAATGTTTACTAACATTTATAACATTCATAAACTTAACACCACAACTTCGATGTGAGTATCGCGGGGTCTCTCGTTGTCTATACGACGATGGAAGAAGATTTATCATTTTATCTATAATAACAATAATTGGATACTTTCCTTAATCAAAAACAACGACTGTTCAATACAATAAAATATGAAAAATCAATCACACTTTCATTAATTGATTTTAAGACCAACTTAATTTTTAGTATTTTCCAGTAATAAAAAAGAAATATAAGTACTGTTTGACGCTAAAAAACGTGACGTCACAACACACAATCTCGTACAAAATTCAAGGAAAATAGTCGTTTTTGACAGTTCAAAAAAAGTATTGATTTTGGAAAGTTAGTTGAAAGGAAATATAATAAAAAATGTTTTATTTACTTAACATTACCTGACATAAAATCATATAATCCGATGAAAATAACGTTCAAGGAAATGTTCAATAATGTTTATTACATTATTCGAAAACATAAACAAATTCGAATATTACTCTTTATTAAAGATTAAATAAAAAATTCTTTAATAATTTTCAAACATTTTTGCACAAACAATGGGCCGTCAAATAACACGATTCTGGCATACCTCATTCATCTCGTCAAGCCTACAGAGGGGCTCTTGACTTGACTCTTCATTCATTTCATCACATTCATCAATCTCGTCAAGCCTACAGAGGGCTCTTGACTTGACTCTTCATTCATTTCATCACATTCATCAATCTCGTCAAGCCTACACAGGGTCTCTTAACTTGACTCTGGTCTAAGTCCCTCTACGGACTTCTCCCTTACTCTCTCTTGACTCTTGTAACTAACTCTTCTAACATCATTCTTCTTTCAGTATAACCAAACCACAACGTATCATCCGTTGACACAATCTTTTTTAACCCACATTTCACTCTTTAACTGTTAATTTCATTTCCTACTTACATCTCAGACCTCATCCCCACTACACTGTCATTATTCATGTCATTGATGATTGTGTATTGCAGAACGAAGAAACCTTGGCTGGTATATTTCCATTCCCCAAGATGTTTCAGCTGCTATGAGAAGTATCCGGCCTTTGCGATCGCTGGCTATGTAAGTCCTACTTGGACAATTTTCTTTATTTTTAACCGACCTCAAAAAAAGACGTTCTCAATTTGACCTATGCCTTTAGCCAAACGCCACTTTAGCGCTTGTCTACAGAGAGAGTAGAAAACTAAATGTATGGGGATATAAAAAAAAGACATTGACAAGTGTCAAAGTTGACGTCAATCTTTATATATATAATTCTTCTGTGAGTGTGTATGTCATTGAACTTCTCTCAAACGACTGGAACGATTTTGATGAAAATTTTTGTGTGTGTTCACGGGGATCTGGAAATGGTTTAGATTCACAAATCACAATGGCGCTTCAGTCGATGTTTAGGTTATTTATCCTAAACAGCTGAACTAATTTGAATGAATTTTTGTTTATACATTCAAGTGGATATGCAGGACATCGTCTGTTGGGTCCGCTAGTTCTATATAATTTGGTTTTCTATGTATTCATGTAGACAAGCGCTAAATGGCATTTGGCTACAGCTGCTGTATTTATATATGTTAGTTGTGCGCGATTAACTGAACCGATTTTGATGCCGTTTTCAGAAGTGTTTGTTATACTTGGAGAAGGTTTTAGTATATTAATTAACCGACTTCAAAAAAAGAGGGTGTTCAAGTTGGTTTTTTTTAACGTATCTTATAAAAGAGTTATTAGATATTGGACTATGTGATACGTTAATGTTACAATAAACATAATTATATGCTAAAGTAATAACAGTACGGCTAAAGTGGTTAATTTATGATATACTACTTGAAATGTCTGAAAATCATCTAAGAGTGAGTTTTGTTAATACAACTAAGAGTTTTTTGGCTTATAATGCAGATCCTTTCCAAGCTGATTTAGAAGTAATTGTGGGAGCCCTATGTCTAGGAATATACATCTTGTGATAGAATGATGATGATTATAGTCTCTGTTCTACTATATCTTTACATCTATCTACAATTTATCTGATCACACAAATTACAATGAAAACATTATCCCTTTCAGTTTCTAAACAACGCTATACAAATGGGCCGAGTGAACTGCATCTCTGAACGTGGCATCTGTCAGCAGGAGCAAATAATGTCTTATCCCACCCTTAAATTGTATCTCAGTAGAAATCAGCGCCAAAGGTTCAGTACCGTCATCAATATACCTCTCAGAGACTATGAAACCGTACTAAAAGAAGTTAAACAACATATAAGAAGATACGACGAAAGTCTACTAGCAGGTATAGAACAAAATGTTAGAAAAAGTATACATATAAATCATGATGAATTCTAGTTGAATCTCTTTATTAGACTTATTTTCGTGTTTCCAATTTGGGTTTGTGATTTGATAAAGGAACTTAATTGGACAGTCATAAAGTTTATATTGTTGTGAATGTCAAATATTTGTTACAACGTTTTCGATAGAAATATTATTCGGAAAGCGATCTTAAATTCATACAGTTAATGAAGACTTTTAATTTACAGTGACTTGTTACTATTTTCATTCCGTTTTTTGTGAGCTTAGTTTCGATTTCGCCTGATTAAAATTGTAGCAATCTGAAGTACTTTTAAAAGCCCTAGCGAAATAGATAATTAGAAATAAGTAGATCCAATTGTCAATTACTTAGTTTTAAAATTGAGGCTAACTCGAATCATATCTCGCATACTACTAATTGTTAAGTAGGTAATTTAATTTTAACTAATTATTTTGTTACCATACAAGATTAACTCATATTTGTAATATGTATATTATGTTAGTTATAGGATATTTTGTGATACTGAAAAATCTTCTATCTTCGTCCAGTTCTTGGAGAAAATGTTTTTTTAAAGGCTTTTGTAATATTCCAGTATATTCTTATTTTCTACTAATACCTGCCCTTATCCCAAGCTGGGGGTTGCCACAATATGTTGCATTTATTTGTGTCTCAGTGAGTGTATATTTAGATATTAAGTTTTTTTATGTATTTGTACTGTGACCAGTGTTTGTTTTAACAATCTACAGTGGAGACCTTGTTATCTGGACCTCATTTGTGATTTTTTTTTTTTGGTTATTTAATATAATTTGTAGTTACTAGTGGTAGAGACGTACGAGTTCTACGTTTAAAGTAATCGAAACGAGAGCGAGTTCGGCGCACTGATTGGTTGGTTCATTAGAGCCGGCCAATCAGAGCGCAACGCGTAGAACAAACTCGTACTAACGCCTCTGTATACCACGGATGGGGCCCAATAGGGCTGATAGCGATTCGGAGCCGCGGAGAATTTAACGGGTTGCCGGGGCTCCGGCTTGAAGTGCAGGAGTAGGAATGGAGTGGTTTTTAGTCAGTAAGAGTCTGACACTCCCTCCCGCCTCACCCAGACGGAAGCAGTCATTCGATGATTTGTCATCAACAGTGACCTGTTGGTACTTCATTTTTATGTAAAAATAGGTCACTTAATTTAATATTTAACATTGTAAGGTTTCCACTATTACTGAAATTACATAGGAGTTATCATTTATGGGTCATTATAAAATAATAATTAAGATCAATGTACTTATATTTCTAATTTTTTTTCTTTCATAAAAATTGTAATAAATAAATACATCACACAGCTATTATGTTTTAAAACTTTCTTTCATTAATATCTTTAAATGAAATCTCTTGTAATCTCTTTTTTCTTTATATTTTTACTAAATAATTTAATAGGAATTAATTGATGAGCATTAATGTGATATTACAGCTAACTATAGACTGAATTCAAAATTGTTTAATTACACATATTATTATGAGAATTGTAAATTCATGTAGCTTGCTTGTTGCAGAGATAGACAACAAAATAGTTTTAGTACCAAAAAATAATTACTGCTAAATTGAATCATGGCCATTTCCACTAACCGCCTCTAAAACATCGTATAACTAAGAGTTACTAAGCATGAGGGAGCACCTAAACTGACCCCTTACTTGTACTGTAACATGTGATTTAAAGGTTGCTGTAAACCATTATTGTTATGCGTCACTATCTTTATCTTAACTCTCTTTAAGAGTGGTTAATGAAAATGGGTATCAGTTTAGCTTGTATTGCAATAAGCCTTGTGTCGAAGTAAATATGTAGTGCCTTTTATATTGAGCCAATACTAGTACAAATTGACTGTCAATAGGGTAGATAACTAATTTTTATTTTAATGTCCGTCTGGTAGATTATTTAAATATTAGACACGTATTTTTTATTTTTTACGGAAACGAATAGTTTCGAAGATACGTTATATTGATTTGAAATGTTGCGTGTCGTCTTCTATGTACATTTTATACGTAGAAATGACGTTTTAGCCCCCACACCTAAACTTTGATTCGTTTTATCTAAATATTGTTTTATTATACGACAAAATAAAAATATATTGTGTCTAATATTTTTCATTACCTAACTGACGGACTAATTAGATTTTTAATTTTCATACACTTTCATCTTCCCTATTATATTACGTATCTATAATATATAATATAAATAGGTAATAATAAATATCTTGTGAGATTTAATACTGTATACTATAATGACTTGATTCCAAGTTGTAATTTTACTAACTCAATTGACCATAAAATAAAACAATTATTACAATAATAAAATCGTTTTATTCTTCAAGCATTAACAATAGGCATTAACTTTAAGTATTACGTATCTTTAACTAATGTATTGCAGGCATTTTCACAAACAGCATCTGAAAACAAACATTACACGCCATGACACCAATAAATTACATAGGGATTAGTGGATTACTAAAAATTCTATTCTACATAACTAGACAATTATCGAAAATCCGCAAAAAACAAATATGTATTCTTATAGTAATCGGAAATCGAATCTAAGAGCTCTTGCTTGGCAGTCACACTCGCAATCATTGGTCAATAAGGTGGTCTTAATGTAGATCTCAACCGGATTTAGAAAATATTTAGAAGAAAATTTCTAAACTCTACATAAAATTATTATAAAAACATAAATGTTGGCTGCCTCGTTGCCCGAGTGGTCGTGAGTGCGACTACAGGGCAAGGGGTCTCGGGTTCGATTCCCGGGT